AGAGAGAGAGAGAGAGAGAGAGAGAGAGAGAGAGAGAGAGAGAGAGAGAGAGAGAGAGAGAGACAGTAGGTTGTGAGGTGTTGGTGATTTAGGGTTTGTACAGAGAGCAGTCAGTAGCAGGATGCCATTTATTGGGGCTGTTGTTTTTTGGGAAGGGAGGTGGAGCCGTGCAAATGCACAGGGTTTAAGAGGGGTTTAGAGCGCTATGCACAGGGTTTTGGAGGGGTCCTTTGTTTAGTTTATTTCTCTTTCATTCGCTGTCTTCATTTCTGTCTTCTTTTTTTTCAACATCAGATGCACAGGGTTTAAGAGGGGTCCATCCAGGTCCAGGCTCAGTGCCCTCCGGCCTATGTGTTGCCTCCTTTCTCGTGCCTTGCTGCTTTGCCTGGTTGTTTCTTGGTTGCTGTTTACTGTCTTCTCCATCTTGTTGGTCTTTTCCTTTTCCTTGGCCGCATTGTGTCCTTGTGTGCGCTTGTCTACTGTCGGCGGGGGGAACCAACAGTCTGCGAGGTTCTGTACAACCACATACTGGTGGTTGAACTCCTGCCATCTTGTTGGTCTTTTCCTTGGCCGCATTGTGTCCTCGTGTGCGGTTGTCTACTGTCTGCGGCGAGAACCACCTGTACACCAGGGGCTGGAGGTGCTGCACGTCTTTTGGCTGGCGGCGCCAGCCTTTGTGGTCCGGTAGGCCCTGGCTGCAAAATTTTCGAGTAGGCGAGGAACACATTTCCACAAGGCTGGCCCTGTCTACTGCCCCGGTTTAAACCCACGAGGTCATGTCAAACTAAGTGGTGCTCTTACTGGTACTACACACGGTACAAGCATGTTGGTCTCGACCTCGGCCAGTAGCAAAAGCGGGAGGTAAGTTCGGAAAGGTGCAGTGGCAGGGTCGAGAACCGAGGTAGCTTCATCAACTTAGTCTCAGCTGAACTGGTGGTTGAAACCACCAGTACGTCCTAGAGTTGTGCCCGTATACAAGCCACAATTTTAGGAAATGTACCGGCCACTACAGGAACGGCCAAATTCATCCGACTAGAAACACGCTTCTACTCTGTATTTTCCTCGGGCGATAGCTGGGCCAAGTACTGGTGGTTTAACTCCTGCCATACTTATTTTCCAGTGAATCTGCTCTCTCTATCACTAACCGTGGTTAATGTTTGCCTGCAATCAGATACACCAATGCATGAAAATTTGTTTTTATTACATCATGTACACACTCCAACGCTTCTCTGCCGGTGGAATAGGATCTGGACTGATGCTTCCCAAAATGGATATGGAGCCAGAACCATGAGGTTCTGTTGTTGTTTGAATTTTGAAAGGAAAAAAGGATTAAAAAAAAAAAAAATGAATAAAAAGTAAGATCTTGCTAAAAAAAAAAAAAAAAAAAAAAAAAAAAAAAAATCTTGCTTCAGGCGGCAATGGAACGAGCTTAGCATGTTTACTGAATCTGGCCATGGCCCTACTGTTTCCATTGCTAGATTTTTTTTCTTTTTCTCAAAGGGCCATGTCGTGGTGGAGGGTGGATGGATGCTAGGCCTTGGGAGGTGTCTGTCATTGTACTCAACCAGTGAGGGGATCGGATGGCTGGTGACAACCCCAAGGACAGTCTTCCTCCAGGGGGTGTCATTCCTGACCTGTTATATCTGAATCTTATCACAAGTTGAGCCCTACAGCTACTCTTTAGTATGCGGCCTGGTTCCCAACACGTGCTGCTCCCCACAAACAGATTGGAGCTTTAAAAAAAAAAAAAAAAAAAAGCTTGACATAGCCTTGTTTGTGGCATACAACACTTGTCTGATGATGGTGGTGATCATGTGAAACAGTGAAACCTATTGGTAAGATACAAATTGTGTGAATTTGCATCAGCACAACCTAGCCTCGCATACTAGGAACAACTTCTAATCTCCCCCACTATACCAAACACACAACTCTGAAGACAATATCATCCCAACCAATACCTTTCGTAGCTGATCTGTTCTCACTTCCTAGACGATACCTGGTCCTTTAGGTTGTCATGGGAGCACCCCCCACTTCACCACTGGATTGTCTTTCTCCCTCGACCAATCCCCATATCTCTCTACCAGGCTGCAAGCTCCTGCTGCAACAGGTGACAAGGCTACGCCTCAGCACTGGCCAGCATCGTTCTGCCATCAGCAAACCGAAGGCAACGAACACCAAAGCTTGGCCAGCCGACAACTAGGATTCTACCATCTCTAAAATCCAACATCGGATGAGAAAAAGTCGCCAAGGATTGCAAGAAACCAAATAAGCATGACATAACCTGTTTAAGAAGAAGATTCAAGAAAAATCTCCCCTCCTTCCCCACTTATCCCGAAACATCTATGATCAGCCCCAACTTGGGACAGCCCCTTGCCGGCCCGCGTTATCCTGCGAAGGCCTGGAGTTCCCTCCTAACGTAAGCCTCTGCCCACCCTTTACCCTAATTTGCCCCTGCTGGAATATGATGCAACCATTAAACCACCAGTACTTGGGCACTGCGCGCCGCGCCGGCCGCCCAAATCTCGAAGCAGCGTGGGCTGTCGATTCGATTTATCGACGGCCCGTCGGCCGCGGAAATCGCGTAGCGTTAACGCTAAGGCGTCCCCCAAGTACTGGTGGTTTAACATACTCCCCAGCCCCAGAATAGAGCTACGAAACACCCCCGGACGCGTCCGCGGGGTCGAGCTCGGAGGGCGGCCACATATATGGCCGCGTCCGCGGCTGGCCTCGTCCGCGCTGCGGACGTGAATTTACTGTGTTTTTCGTAATTGATTTAATAGGCAAAAAAAAAAGAAAGGGGGGGGGGGGGTTGTAGGGATTTTAAAGCCCTGCAACCCCGTATTTGTTTTTTTGGAAAAAGATAATGTTAAAGAATTGTAAAAATAAAAAACATAAAAGGTGGAGAAAAGAAATTGAAAAATAAAATTTCAAAAAAGTTTTCTTTGGGGGGGGGGATTTTTGGTTGGCAGTTCTTTGTATTCTTTACTTTTACATAATTTTTTATTTTTTTTTGTTGTGTAACAAGGAAATAATCAAGGAATGGAAAAAAAAAAAAGTTTTTTTTTTTTTTTTTCATTCCTTTATGGTTTCCTCATTACAGTGTGTGAACATGTGTGTGTGTTGTGTGTGTGTGTGTGTGTGTGTGTGTGTGAATGTGTGTATGTGTGTGTGTGTCAATGTGTGTGTGTGTGTGTGTGTGTGTGTGTG